GCTCAGTCTCTGCTGCACCTTTAAATCCTTCTGTCAGGTGAAGGTGGGAGAGAGAGAGAGAGAGAGAGAGAGAGAGAGAGAGAGAGAGAGAGAGAGAGAGAGAGCACACGTTTGTAACAGCTGTGTGACAGGTGAGCTCACTCTGATGGAGGTGAATCAAAGCGTGCTGTGGTTGGCTGCCATAGAGCGGAGGAGGGTTTTCACACGGCGCCCAATGAGACGCTTTAATCAACCGAGCCACATGTGGGAGGGAAAGACTCCCCCGCCAAAATAAAACCCAAAAAACAGGAGCAGCTTTCTGAGCAGAACCGAGGAGCTGAGAGTTTGTGTTACTGTGTGAGGAGTATTTTATCGTGTTGTACCTGACAGAGCGTCCTGAGCCTCAAAGAAGGTGCTGAGGCCTCCTTTCACGTAGCCCAGGCTGCCCTCGTTCTTCTTCGTGGCTTGTTTTTTCAGATTATTCGCTGCAGCCTTCAGGTTTTCAAAACTGTAACACAAACAAACAAAAGTGACAACGTTACGTGTCGAAACTTTGAGCTGAAGTCGATTCATGTTGAAGAGAAACAGCCGTTTGTGTTAAACGTTTCCAAATGACATGTCTGAGGCGGCCATCTTGGAAAGGGCAGATGTGAAAATGAGTAATTTGAAGATGTCCCTCCTGCATCAGATTCTGCTAAATGTTTAAAACATGTTCCTGCGCAGTCGCTGCGAGGACGTGTCTGAGTGTCGGGGGTCTTGAGTGAGGCTTCCTCTGCAGGAAGAAAGAGTCACCCAGTCAGGTCCAAACAGAGGCCCCCCCGGTCGTACTGGACCCTGGGGGTCTGGGTCACTGCGAGGCTAAGTAGACAGGAAGCCAGGAGCGTCCAAAATAACTCTCCTCTGGCCCGACGCGACGGCCTTCTGGGTCAACGGGGTGCGCACCTCCACGACGAGGGTGTTCAAACAAAAACACAGTTTAACAAAATAATTTAGTTTTCAAAAAAACATTTGTTTCGTCGTTTAAAAATTAACATTTTCTGCRTAAAAGAAGCTTAAACTTTATTCAAATTAATTTAATTAAAATGATCAGGAGAAAAATCAAACAAGCTTAAGAAAAAGCAAAGTTGAAAGCAAAACATCAGCTAGAATATTAAAAAACATGAGGAAAAGTAGCTTCAAAACTACAAAGAGGAGCCGAAATGAACAAAACAGGAGCTAAAAGCTAAAGTTAAACATGGTTGATGATTAATCTACAGCTGTAGCTCAACGCTTCACAGCATTCACACTGAGATCTTTTTTTTTTTTTTGCATCTGACTCGTTCCACAACTTTTAAAC